GACGACTTGGCGCCAATATTCCGATGAACGAACTCACTCATCCGCTAATTGCTCAACACGTTATCAACGGTGCGTAGATAGTGTTGGGAAAGTTCGGTTCAGGAAATCGGTTCGAACCCGAACCGGACTGAACTGAACGGGAAGTTCAGGTTCAGGTTCGGCAAATCGCCGAACCTGAACGCCCAAGTTCGGTTCACGGTTCAAGACGAGCAGAAATTTGCCGAACGCGTTCGAACGCGTTCGAACTCCTGAACCGCTCCAAAAATTCATCTCCGTTCTCCCTGCACAATTTACCTGCCATCCGTGTGTCCAACGAGACAACAAGCCGGCCGTCTGCCACTCTTGTTCGCCTCTCTTCCGAAATCGCTGGAGTGCGTCACTCTGCTCGTACCACTCGTCCCTCGGCTCGTATCACTGACCCCAACAGCGCGGAATTCTCTGTGACCGCAGGTAAGCGCAAGGCTGTAACGGTGCGGGCTACTTCCCGCAAAATGCCACGCCGTTCTGCCACTGTGGCTTCAGAGTCGGAGGATAATGGGTCCGAGGGCAATTCAGATGGCGCCGCGCCTGAGGAGAGTGACAACAACGATGACGAGGAGGGGCCCGGACAAGAGATCATGGATCTCGAGGATTATCATTCCATCCGGGCAATGGCGGATGCAGATCATGCTCAGGTGTGTTCTCTTCCAATTTAATCTACATTTTTACAGCTGTACTCAATGGGCGCAGGTGGTGGCTAAAAATCTCGGCCCCGACAGCACAGCGGACATTCGCACCGTCTTCACTCGCATGAAGGGCCAGAAGGATCCCAAGACCGGTAAGCTGGAAGACGGGTCAGAGTGCAAGATTTGTGTGTATGTCTTTATTCTCCTTCGACAATGTATTTAACATGAGTCTGCTAGCGGAAACGGGAGGGAGAAGACATTTCTCATTGGCAGTGTAACCACTCTTCGCTATCATATAGCTCGGTATGTTGTTTGGTCCATCGTCGTTTGTCTATTACTGACTCTACAACTATCTCAGTAACAAAGGGCATTACGAGGTCTATAAGGCTCGTTGCGTTGTGTGTGCTTACCTTTTTTTTTTCTTTCTTTTTTTTGTAAAATAGTTTCGGTTCACGCGTTCGAACTCGTTCGAACGCCGAACCGAACCGTCTTGAACCTGAACCGCAGGTTCAGGTTCGGGGTTCCGCGAATCCTTGAACCTGAACCGAAGTTCAGGTTCGGCGTTCGGAAAAAAACACCCCGAACCTGAACTGAACCGAACTTTCCCATCACTATGCGTAGATCATACGTCGGCAAATTCCGTGATATCAAGTCCATTGCAGGAGAGCCTATCCTACCCGCTACCGGATTCATCGAGATCGTACGTTCCCTCTTATTTCCGGGCCCCCTCAATAACCGCGATTATACAGCTCCTGGAAGCGGGCGCAAAACTTTCTGTGGGACGTAGAGTTTATGTCCTTTTTCTCTTTATCGGCGAGAAATTCCGCGCGCATGGTCCTTGAGCGTTCGGAATGCAAGTGTTCCCTCAAATAAATTGATCCAGGCGTCTCGGTATGTACAATATGATTTTTTTTAGGGCAGATTCACTGAATTTTTGTCAGGTGGCGATGGGCCAAGAACATGCTCGCGGACTCATGGATTCTCTCCCAGTCAAATCGCTTGACTCTGTGGACCTCGGATCGCTCTGGGACCGACTATCAAAAGTGGAAATGGAAAGTAAGCCCCCAACTCTCAACGTACCTCTCATCTTGCCAACTACATCCAGGTTTTTACCAATCTATCCAGCCGTTTGCCACCTTTGGTCCAGCTTAACGGAACGTTATACGGTGCCATATCTAAGGTCATTGCTGAGGTTCAAGGTCCACTGGATGAAGCGTGAGTTGTCTGCTTTCCCCCCCATTCGGGACTCTGATTCTCCTGACCAGGTCGGACCAGTACCGGTTGAATCCTGCAATACTAGACGCGTGCATCCACATCATACTCCATCCGGCCATATCAAAGCAATATGGCAACGAGGCCATGTATCTCCCGGCGAAGCTGGGCCGTTTCGTTCTCCATAACCCTGGGCCGATGTCTGGGAATTGGTTCTCCCACATAAACGTCGATCATGGAGCCCAGGTTCGCTGGAAGTACAGGATTATGCGCGCAATTCAAATTCACCCAGATTCCAAATCGTACGACGTCGTCGTCACGGACGCATCGGGAGTCACGATATGCGTGTTTAATGATCTGCTGGTGCAAAGACTTTCCGTCCAGCCTCCGGCTATCCGCCGCAGATTAGATCGTATTTTCCAACCGATCGCGGTTCGCTCGGCATCGAGCTCCCCAGCAGCCTATTCACAAAGGGAACGCCAAAGTGACGAGGACGCCTTGTTCAAGATTCTGGACGCCCTCGTGGTCAAGATGATCGCCAAATCCCTGAAAGGGAATATCAACGTCGGTGGTGATATGAGCTCTCTCTGCCAACTTCGTGCTACTCCATCCTCATCTTACTCCTAGGTTTCCCGGCAGCGCTATCTTGAGTTTTCCAAGCGTGCTCTGGATAACAAAGCGGGCGGGATATTGGTTGATGACCCAGAAATGTGCACGAAGTACCCGGCTCATTTTGATGTTACCTCTCGAATTACCGAAGTCCACGAAACCGTTTTCCATTCATCGAAGGTCTGCACTATCGACTTCAGTTTTTAATATATTTACACCCGCACTCAGAGAGCCGTCGATGCTCTGTATTCCGACGATCTCATGGCTCGCTTCTATAGCCGCAGTAGCCAGACAAGTACTGTGTATCCGGAAGCCGTCAAGTCATTTTCTTCGCTTCTCGATTCTCTTCAAAGTGGTGGTAAACATGCAATCAACATACTCGAACTCGGCGCAGGTATGGTCCAATCCGTCTTGTTGAGAATTGAGCTCACAGTTCCGCTAGGGACTGGGCTGTTAACCAGATATCTTATTGAAGAATTGCAGCAGAAACCGCAGCTGCTCGTAGAATACACTGTGACTGACGCGTCACATGTAATATACCTTCCTCTATCTTCTCGAGCTTTTCTAACTCTCCGTGTAGGCCTTGGCTGCCGAGCTCGCCCGTACAACTCAGTATCACAAGGTCACCCCGAAGCTGTATGATGTCACTCAAGATGTAAATAGCCAAGGCCTACTCCCAGAGTCGTACGATGTGGTTGTTGCCCTCCATGTCCTGCATGCTGTCCCCGACATCCGGTCTTGTCTTTCGTCCCTTCAACACTACAGGCAGACATTTAAGGGACCCAGTTAGGGTGATTATCTCCCACATAGAGAATCCCCCTAACTAGGCTCAGGAATGTGGGAGGCTACCACCTTGGGAGCTCCCAGCCGCTGCTATATGGGAGGGAGCGTGGCTGCCGCTCCCAGGGCTTCTGGGAGCTCCCAGGCTCCCAGGCTCCCAGCCAAAACCCCGGTGCCAGCTGGGGATTTTTTTGGCATTTCTGGGGGCGGTTCTGCACCATTTGGGCAGCTGCTTGGCTGTTAATGTAGCACTGGTTCCCGTTGAGCTTCCTACATACATGTTGCACGTAGTGCAGCTAGAAATTTTCAGCAATATTGGCTGCAAAAAAGCTGGTTTGGGTGCATTTGGCTGGTTGGATTGGCATTTCGGGGGGCGGTTCTGCACCGTTTGGGCAGCTACTTGGCTATTAATGTGGCACTGGCTCTGGTTTTGCTTCCTACATATATGCTGCGCATAGCGCGACTAGAAATTTTCAGCAATATTGGCTGCAAAAAAGCTGGTTTGGGTGCATTTGGCTGGTTGGATCAGCATTTCTGGGGGCGGTTCTGCACCGTTTGGGCAGCTACTTGGCTATTAATGTAGCACTGATTCTAGTTGTGTTCACTATGTATATGCCGCATATAGCGTGGCTAGAAATTTCTAGGTGTTTTGGCTGCCAAAAAAAACAGGTTCGGGCACATTTGGCAAGTCAGATCGGCAATTTTGGGGCCATGCTTCTGCTTGTCTCTCTCCTTATAAAACTAAGGGTGTCTGTCCGAAGCCTTCAAACTCCGCTTTTGGTTATTAGTCCCTGGTTCTTCGTATTTCTGTAATTCACGGCTACATCTAGCATCTAGCTTTGGGAGCACTTCTGACTCTTTCATCTTATTGACGGTCACATCCATACTATACTATCAAACAAACTACTTCACACCCCTTTTTGATGCCTTTAACTCCACGTTAACCTTCCATGCAGATCTCACGATCACTAAGCTGACCTGCTCTCTCCATGCCTCCCATCCTGTTGTTTTGGGAGCTTCTGTTAGTCTCTTACTTGCCTCCCACCTGTTGCTCGGAAGCTCATACACTCTCCCAGCCTACTGCCTGGGAGCTCCTACTCGCCTCCCAATCTGATTTATGGAAGCTCCCGGTAAGCCTTCGGAGATGGTTGGAAGCTCCCATGTAGCATCCTGGGAGCTCCCAGTGGGCCAATTGTCAGGCCATGGGAGCCTCCCATCTTGTGTTTGGTCAATGAATTCTCTTTGGGTGGGAGCCTCCCACCGTCCGGTGGGAGCTTCCATATATAGGCTCGCAAAGTATCTGGGAGTGCATGGGAGCCTTCCATCTTGTGTTTGCACAATGATTTTCTCTTGTGTGGGAGGCGGTGGGAGCTTCCATATGTAGGTCATGGAAGCATGTAGGAGTTCACTTGATGCTCAATTCCACAAGCACTTAATTTATTACTTTACAAGGCAATCTCTTTTTTTTCTTCCTCTTTTCTTCTACTTGGTTGTACACTCCACTAATAAACAGCTATTCCAATGGCCGTCACTCTACAGATATTAAGCAAAGCCCTACTTCCCAATTTGGGTGCCACTCCTCCTAGCAACCCGATTTGGGAATTTCTTATCTTATCAGGCACTTCGTTTTTGGACCACTACCGCCAGTGTCCCAGTATGGTAATTCTTTTTTTAGGAGTCTTGTAATTTCTATGTTGTCTTCAAAAACATTTAGACTCTCAGAGTAAAAAGCATCGGCTCTGGTGGATTCGAACACACAATCTACCGGTGAACATTGAGTGATGTCATCACCTGGTCCGGTGCACTTACCACTGTGCCACAGAACCAACACTCACTGGTCCCATATATATGATTATACATTGCCACCTTCCTCACACCCACTCCTCAATTTTTATCTTATCAGTCACTTTCTTTTGGGAACACTACCGCCGGTGTCCCAATATGGTAATTACTTTCATAATCTTCGTACTTTTAGCTTGTAAGTCACTCTGAATCTCGCGAATAAATACAAAGTCAGCAAAAGAAAAAAGAAAAAACACTCGAGAAAAACATAATAAACAACCCAATACCAGGCTCTCAAGGGATTCGAACCCGCGAACACAACAGGCCCGACAACCAAGTCCCAGAAGCGTGGAACTCACTGATTCGCATCAAGTAAAAAAAGGAGAAGAAGAAAAAAAAGACGGAGAGCTCAAACATAATATAAGAAAGAATTCATAATTAAGGCAGAGTACATGGTAACATAAAGAGAGAGAGGTACGTTGAAAGTAAATACAGAAACTAAGATAGAGTGAAGAAATTCGCCTCCGCTGTGCGAGCTTGCTTCCCCTTTTTCTCTTCCTCACGCGCTTGGCGCCGAGCCTCGCCGGCTGCGGGAGTGCCATAGGGCCGGCTCGAGATGGCATCCAGCCGTTTATCAGCTGCCAATGCATATCAGCGCATGTCCGACCACACACAAAACAAAAAAAGGGAAACATACTTGTGGATCTTGCTCGCAACCTCTTGACTGGGCAGCCACGGGTGAACATGCATTGGCGCCACGCGATGCAGGAGGCATCGAGGAGGTTGAAAGTCGCCGGGTACATGATCGACGGTTCGTGCGGGACAAGCATCTGCGGGATGTCGAAGGGAACGGCCTGCTTCCCCCATCGCGTTCACCATCTGCTGCGCGCGCTGCGTCGCAGCATCCCATCTGAATACGACTTGGACAGGGCCCTGCGCAACGTCGCTTAATGCATCTTGACTTGAGTGGCGAATTACCCCACTCGAGCTGACATAGAACGCGTCGTCCGGAGATACGCCCTTTCGGAGAACGCGAGAGGCCGACTCCTCTGGCGTCCCCGCTGTCGACGCAGACAGCGACGAGGCGGAGCTCACCGCCACCGAGCTCGGAGGAGATGTGGCCACAGCGCTGCTGCCGACCGTCCTCGAGGAGGAGGAATATTCCGAGGCAATGTCCTCAATACGCCTCATTCTCGAAGCAGCGGTCAGTGCTCGCGTGCGTGATGGCGTCGCCGGGGCTGGAACAGCGGCGTCGGGCATTGGCGGCTGCCTTGTCCTGGGGACAATGCTGTACGGACCTCTTCCTCCTCTTCCGAGTCGGGGAGGAAGAGCGGCAGGGTTAGCACGTCCTCTGCGTCGGTCTCGGACGACGGCAGCGACGTGTACAATGGAGGGGTGCCCAGGACGCGTGTGCTACGAAGGGCAACGCTGCCTTCGCGTTTGACGACGGCGCTCCCTCCGCGTTTGACGACAGCGCTCCCTTCCCGTTTGATCACAGCGCTCCCTTCCCGTTTGACGCTAGCGCATCCTCTCTTTTGCTTGGCGGGGGCGGCAGTGGACAGGTCGATTTCGGGCGGGTGTGCAGGGCATTCGCCTGCGTAGCACGCATGTGAATGCTCTCCACACTTCCCGTGTCGATGGTAGCAGTGTGTCCTCCAAGCCGCGAGCACCTCGGCTTGGCGTGTAAACGACGCCACCATCTCGAGCTCACCGTACTGCTTTGGCAGAGCCGCGGTGCAGGACATTCTAATGCATATCAGCATTGATTTAAACGTCAGTATGCCAAACTCACTTCAAACTATACATCCCTTGCTTCGCCGAAACGAAGAGAACCCAGTAAGTCTGGTTGCGCCGGCGCTGATTATCAAAATTGCTGTCCATGTGGTTAGGTACGCTGCAGGCAACGAAGTTGGGAGAGGGAACAGTAAGGTCTTCAAGGGCGCGCGGGAGTGGCATGGTTTGATGATAGACGAAGAGATGAACGATGAGGGATGGACGCGCTTGGTAGGAGGTGTGACTCTGTTGTCACAGCCACTGCGGCGTCATCCTACGACACAGTACGTTCCTCAAATAAATCTGTACGCTCAAATAACAACTGTGGTAGAGACGATCCCTCCATATGTTCTACCATCTGCGACACAAACGTTACGAGGAGTCATCTCCATCCGGCCGAATTAGGCAACCCCACCGGCCTCTTCCTCGGCGAGTCTCTTAGCTTCCGCTGCTTTCGACTCGAGGGCAAAAGGCAATTTGCCCGTCTGGTTGCCATGGATCCTGTACAAAGGTAGATAAATCTTGTCGAAGCTGTCTTGCCCCCATTTCTTGATGAACTTCCTATTAATTAGCTTTTAGTTTCCTTCACTCTGCAAGCCCGAACTTGGGAGAGAGCTCACTTTTGGCGTTGGCTGGAGAACATAGCCCAGGTAAGCTTCGATAAAACTCCTTCATCCGGGACAAATCTCTCTCACCGTTCTCGATAATCTGCGTCCACCTCTCGGCGAACCTCATTCGCCTCATTCCTCTTTTCTGGATCCTCCTTGATAGCAGCACGCCACCTAGGCATTATTCGTAGCTAGCCGTAGACCTGAATATATTATCTCTTACGCGCACATCCTGAGTTTCGCCTTTTCCCGCAACTCGGCAGCGTTCCTGCGGCCATTCGCACCTCAGTGACTGCGAATGAGTGAAAGACAGGGCATCCCACTTCTCTCTGTAGCGCTGCTGCGCTTTGGCGTGCTTCTCTCGACGAAGCCGCTCCTTGCGACGCTGTTTCCCACTGCGAGCTTGGGCGAACATGACGAAGTGACGATCGAATGAAGACAAGTTTTCCAATGCAAATATGGAAAGGCCTAAATTCATTACACGAGTTCGTGATTATTGAGGCCAAATAAATTTTATTATTTTACGCCGTGGAGTAACGCACCTAGTTTTTGCACAACACTCTTTGCAAGCTGCCATTGCATCCACAGAAAAAAAACGAAGGTGCAAAACTTGTCCCCCCCACCCATGGCCACCATATTGCAGGAACGAGTTCGTGATGTCGGAGTTGTCGGGGCGGCAATCAGAGCGGGTTAGTGATATGTCTGGGTAATTTTTTTTTTTTTACGCACTCGCTGTCAAATGTTTGCGTCTTAATTTTTGCAGGAGTGTGCACGGCCGGCGTTCCTTGGGTTCACTAAAAATCATTGAAGACCTGCCTTGCGGCTATGAGCCATGGCAATCCATTTAGTCCGACGAGTTCGTGATTTCGGATGCGTCGGCCTACCTCTGATTGCCAAATTAGGCCACGTCCTTAATCACGAACTCGTCTATTCATTGCGATGTGCGAGTTCGTGAACAAGAATTTCTCTACGTACGGTAGTGCTCAAAGCGCCATTATATTATTTCCTGCTGTACTTTTGGAAATCAAAAAGGCAAGCGCGTGGATTTCAGTTATTGAGCGGGGCATCTAGGTATTGGACACAGTATTGGACGTGTCAGCCGCAGCTGCCGACGCAGCGCCCGACACAGCAACCCACCAGCCATCCCCATCCCATCCGCCACCCTGCCCCCATCCGCCACCGTGCCCCCACCCTCCCCCATCGCCCCAACCCCCGGCATCACCCCACCCCCCATTGCCCCAACTCCACCCACCTCCGTCGAATCGTCCGCCCAAGGGTGTGGGTAGGGGATAAACACCGCTAGGGGGATGCTTAGCGTGGCCCATGCCTGTGCATCCTCCTGCGCGTCCTCTGTGGGTACTATGAGCAACGGATGCTAAAATAATGCATGGGTACTTACGCGCGGTGATCCCAGCAATTTTCAAAAAATTACGCCGACGCCAACGGTCCCGCGCTCGCTGGAAATGAGCAAGAACCGACTGTTCTGTAAAGAGGTTAAATTGAGATTTTTGATTTCTTTGAAAGAAAAAAGAACGTACGACTGCGACTTTGGCGGCTCATGGTGGCAAAGGTCCAAGATCCAGCCGGAAGGAGACCGAGAAAGCGGCAAAGACATGACGCGAAAGACCCGAAAGAAAAACCAGGTATGGCGATAAGAGCGACCACGCGGCTCGAAATGTTGCGATGCTGAGATGTAGGCATGGGTTTGCTGAGATGTAGGCGTAAGATGATCGCATGTTTGAAAGAGACTCCTCCCCGATTCCAGGCGGCCCCGGTGGGGGAGCAGGGCGGGGGGCAATGGTGGAGAAGGAGAGGCGAAAGGGAATCGGGAGCAATTAGCGCCTCCCAATTTGGCGTGTCGAAAAGCGGCTCCGCTTGGCATCTGGCCCGCTAATTGCTCCCGATTCCCTTTTGCCTCACCATTGCCCCACCCGCTCCCGGGGCCGCCTGGGATGGGGGAAGACCTGGCGCGTCAACCAACCAGCTCGTCCTCTCGCCTACTCCTCCAACTCTTTATCTTGCTAATATTCCAACAATGCCACATGCGCATCGCTACGTGCACCGAGATCTCAAGTTGTCGCCAAGCCATCTGAGGCGATGATCCCTTCTGTCAAGTTCCTGGCGCTATCATGTCAACTTGAGTCTGGCTACTCTCAGCGACTTCAAAACACTGTTGCTCAAACACTGTAGTCCGAGAAAAAATAACATTTGTTTTTCGTGAATCAAATAATGTGAGTTCATGTACTACAGATGTCTATGCATCGGGGGCGGCGTCACTACCGATCTCGCGACGTGGGCGGCGGGGCCAGGTGAGGCCATCCCACGTGTAATATACGCTAGTGTTATTTTCCCAGTTGGGGTAATCAAACGCGATACCCTGCTCCTCGCCAAGATGGCGGCATGGGGGGCGGGTGATGAGCGCATCGCAGTCAGGGCATGTCCATTCGTGCTCGAGAGGCAGGCGAATACAGGCAGAGCAGTGACTATGCCCGCACGCATATCTGGGATGAAAGTTAATTGAATCTCAAGGAGAAAAAAATAAACTTACACAACAGGATGACATTTAACATGCGAGCAGAGGGTGCAAACCTGATGCGGCCTTGTGGTACCCGTCAGAGGCGGGGGGAGGAAACCGTCCTCATAGAGGTGCTCCCTGATGAGCG